TATTAAAATAAATAACAATCTTTAGTCGTCAGCTACTTCCTACATATATGTGTTTCCTGTGTGCCTCATAATTTCGGCCTTGTGACACACGTAATCTACGCATGGAAAATCGCTATATGCATTTCCTATATGGTCACGTGGTCTACTTAATTCAATAATGGGATCGCTTGTGTTTGATCACTGGGGATCTACGTTCAAATTCAACTGTCGGTAGCGACACTTTATTCCTATATAACACGTTGTATCTCAATTAATTGGGATCTTTTTAAAAGAAAAGTCCTCTGTAAATTTTAAGGGTTGAAATTCATGCTCGGGGTTTATACAAAAGGCAGCCGTTCAAGACTTAATCCATAGCTACAGAAAAAAGCTTCTTTCTTCTTTTATGCGCCATGTCCCTTCAGGACGTAGGCGATCATGACCCTCCCAATCTTCCCTTGTAGCTCTTAATAAGTTTTATCTTATAACTCATAAACCCTATTCTGGCATCCAGTTGCTCAAGCCTATCAAGCATGTTACGCACTGCTTTCCTGTATCCCTCTTTCCCTCAATGTATCCTGTGGGTATCAGATTTTCCAAGCCCTCCTTCCACATTAGACGCCCCAGATACTTCAACTGTCTCTTTCTAATGTTAAATACAAGTTTCCTTTTTGTTTCCATTCTCTCCAGAAGCTCATTGTTGCTCACATGTTCGGCCCCTCTTACCCTGAACCTCAGTATCGTCATCTTCAGCATCTTTCAAGCAGAATATTGTTTGCAAAAGGATATAATGCTAACATCGGTAAGAATAAATCATTACTATAGGACGAGTTATCGTGATCGCAGCATGAAATAGACGACATTGTCCAAGACGAAATTGCCTCATCCGAGGCAATAAAATGAAGACCTTGTAAGACGAGATACTGGGGTGGGGGTTGAAAAATTCATAAGTTGACTGTGAAGTTGTGATGTTAGAGCTGTGAAATCTTGCATGCATTAATTTAAATTAACTCCTCTTATTAATAAATGCATTGTTTCTTTCCAGGTAGGAGGTTGGACGGAAAGTTTCATAAGCTTACCATGAAAGAGTGATGCTAGAGCTGTGAAATCTTGCATGCATTAATTTCAACTATTCTAATTAATAAATGCATTGTTTTTTCCATGTACGAGTGTGGGCTGAAAAGTTGACATATTTACGTTGAAGGAGTGATTCTGGAACTGCGGAATCTTGCATACATTAATTTCAACTATTCTTAATTGCATTGTTGCTGTCCAGTTACAATGATGGGTTGAAAAGTTCATATTCTGACTATGAAGGAATAGTGCTAGAACTGTGAAATCTTGCATGAATTAATTTCAACTCCTCTTATTAATAACTGCATTGTTTCTTTCCAGATAGGAGGCTGTACTGAAAGTTTCATAGGCTTACTATGAAGGAGTGATGCTAGAGATGTGAAATCTTGTATGCATTAATTACAACTCGACTTATTAAGAACCGCATTGTTTATTATCAGATAAATACATATCTGACTACTCAAAGAATTCTTCAGTTCTAACGAGTAGGGACACCTTGAAAATGGACAACGTGTGGCATCGTGGTGGTACAGGAAAAAGTGTTTAGCCCCAAAGGATATGTAGAATTCTAATTCTATATGTTTACCTTGTTCAATTTCTGTGCAAAATGTGGATCACATTGATATTTTGAATAGATCCAACTTCGTACATATTTTTTTGAATAGTCAAGTTCTAATTGGTCAAAAACATACAAGTGGGCATTGCTATACAGCCATGAAGAAGTTTTTTTCACCACATGATTAAGTTAATACTTTTAGCGCCAATTTCTCTGGAGCCTATCCAAGTAAATAACTACAGAGCACTAACTCACATTTCCAGTGAGCATTGTGAGTTCAAATTATTTGCTATACGAAACTATGTCACTTCATCTGAAATTTTCAAAGTTACTTGCGAACATATAAAAAACTTCCAGAAATTTCTCTCACTCATCAATCCATTTACCCAGCAGCACATGATCATTCCTGCTAGTGAATAAACATTGCATTTTCATTCAAACAAAGCGAAGGACTTTTCGACAACGAAATCATCTTTTGAAATTTTACGAACATTCCAACTTCAAGAGCAGTCAAAGGAAGACAACTTTATTGAACTCAATTCACACAAATTTAATGTGAATTTATTATTTAACATAAATTTTTTAATTTTATTAATCATTTAATTTTATTATCAACAGTTTATTACTATATCCTACATTGCGAAATTTTCATCACAAATTTTTCAACACTTAACCTCTCAGTTAAATTCACAAGCATCATTCACACAAACACACTCACACACACACACAGACACACACACACACATATATATATAGATAGATAGATAGATATAGAGAGTGGGAGTTTAACATTAATCAAACTAACAATACAAGATTTCAATAAAAAATCTACGCTTATTACTATACATATCATTTTAATCTTCATACAATATAAATGCAAATTGATTGTTATTCAATATAAATGTAATTGGCCCTGATGTAAAAATTGTCTGCTGGCCTGAGATGGAACAAATACATTGAGTCAATAGCTTCGTCCACCGCAAGGAAATTTGGCTCCCTGTGCCGCGTCAGGAAATTTTTCTCCCCGGAATCAATCCTTCAAATCTACAGATCAATCATTCGCCCTTGCATAGAGTATTGCTGCCATATATGGTCCGGTGCCCCTTCTGTTTGTCTTAAGGTCCTTGATAAAATCCAGGGACGGATATGCAATGTAATTGGCCCTGATCTGGCATCTTGTCTGCAGTCGCTCTCTCACAGATGTGCCGTTGCCTCCCTCTGTCGTTTTTACAAATATTTCACGGTAACTGCTTCGATGAGCTGCTTTCGCTGGTTCCTAGACTTCATGAATTCAAGCGCCCTACGAGGCTGGCATCTCGCTCTCACCCGTTCACTGTCGAAACTGTTAAATGTAGCCGTCTCTTCTATTCCAATAGCTTCATGTTTCGCACCTCTAACTGTGGAACTGCCTCCCCTTTTCTTGTTTCCCTGATAACTATAATCTACACCTATTCAAATGTAATATCAATCGACGTCCGCAGATGCCTTGATCTATCCCCTATGCTTCTCTTCATCCTTTCCTCTATCACTCCTCTTTGCTCTCGACCCAACTCTATGTAACTCATTGCGTGCTAGTGGCTTCCTGCCTTACTTGGGGTTGAATGCTTAGAAAAATGCCTTTTTCTTTTTTCAGTATTGTTCTATGCTTTTCTGTTTGCTTTCATTGAAGTATAATATAAATGTGTTGAGGATACAAGCCTTTGAACACGCAGCCCAAATTTATTCTTTCAACTATAAGACTCGACATAACAAGTTCTCCAAGAACATGCTGACATGTTTGCTACAATAGGGGATGATGCTTCAGCCTTATCAACAGTGTAAATGTGGGCAGATGAATTTAGGAGAAGAAGGGAGAGTCTTGAACATGACCCAAGGTCTGGATCCCCTGCAACTGTCACCAAAGAGGAAAACATTGATTGTGTTCACCACATCGTGATGAATGAAGGAACAGAAACGTGATTCTACAGGAGGATGTTGAGGATAACATGAACCGAATATGTGTGCAACGACGATGTTTTAGAGTATAAGCTAAGTATAAATTTCTTTTTTGTTTCGAAATGGAAACAAAAAGGAAATTTATACTTAGCATCAAAAAGACACAGTGGAAATTTCAGCTGAACATAAGGAGGACGGATGACTTGGAAAATCTGATGCTTACAAGAAAGATTGACAAGAGGGACAGAGAAAAACGAAGGTTAACATAATTAATGCTTTAGCTTGAGTCAATAGATGGCGGTTTAGTGAAAATGACAAAATTTACATTATTCGGACTATTGTCCCCATCTTTATCACAACGTTTCGGCCGTTGTACGCTGTGGCCTTCTTCAGGTGGTTGGAATTTCGAACTGAACACTTTATTTCGCTCACTGGGATAGACTGTTCTAGTTCCACGTGCCACGGATGTCAGTTATCAATTATCTCCTGTCAATTTTCCCTCTGAAAGTTCTTAACCAGGTATTGAACTCACACTCTTTAGGTCCTGTCAATATATCTAACCAACGCCTTTATCCACTGTGCCATGTGTCCTTGAGGACATCTGGTTATGAATTTCTGGGTATTATAAACATAATGTCTTCAGCAACCTTTTCATATTGCAATTTTGCTGTTATCAGTTCATGTTTTTACCAGAGCTCATATTGCAACTTTGTTGTTATCATTGCTTTTCTCTGGCACTCCTTATTACTAGTTCCCATGTTGTATTTATTTCTATGCTTGGTCGGCTCAATTTATTAAGAGCTACAAAGTAACAAAGGCCAGGAAATTTTGGAGAGCCTTGATCCCCTACGTCCTGAGGGGACACGGCATATAAAGAAGAATATTATTTGAAATGATGAGCGGTAAAAGATTTAAACAGACTGTAGGCATCACTGCACATTCTTTTAAATGCATTATTTGTGAACAAAAGCATATAAAGTTTTCATGATAATTTGTGTTTTTACAACCTTATTCGTAATTATGGAGTGAAGTGAATAATTCTGTCCAAAACTGTATGGGTATGATGAGGTGGGGTGATATGTAATCGTAATTGTCGGTTGTAATTAAGTACCGAGAGGAAACGCCGAAGATGTTTGAACATTGAAATTTTAAATTGCGAAAGGCTGACAAGACTAAAAATTACACAAATGCAAAATGTATATTATCATCTACCGGCATTTTGTTTCTTGCGAACATTTTTTTTATATAGACTAACTGCGTGTGCTTTTCCAATGCACCTTGCTCACTCGTATTCCCCCTCTCCATTTTAATGGCTTAGCAGGATTATTCTCTCAATTGTACTGACTGATTTTAGTAGATGTAATTATCTTGTCTATCAAACCTTTAAAAAAGCGGTTTCGCTTTATGTTGTCGGCATTCAGCATCCTTTAACCGAGTCTCAGATCTTTGTTTCTTTCAGCATTCTTTACCCGAGTCTCAGATCTCTGTTACGTTCAGCATCCTTTACCCGAGTCTCAGATCTCTGTTTCGTTCAGCATCCTTTACCCGAGTCTCAGATCTCTGTTTCGTTCAGCATCCTTTACCCGAGTCTCAGATCTCTGTTTCGTTCAGCATCCTTTACCCGAGTCTCAGATCTCTGTTTCGTTCAGCATTCTTTACCCGAGTCTCAGATCTCTGTTTCGTTCAGCATCCTTTACCCGAGTCTCAGATCTCAGTTTCATTCAGCATCCTTTATCCGAGTTTCAGATCTCTGTTTCGTTCAGCATCCTTTAGCCGAGTCTCAGATCTCTGTTTCGTTCAGCATCCTTTACTCGAGTCTCAGATCTCTGTTTCGTTCAGCATCCTTTACCCGAGTCTCAGATCTCTGTTTCGTTCAGCATCCTTTACCCGAGTCTCAGATCTCTGTTTCGTTCAGCATCCTTTGCCCGAGTCTCAGATCTCTGTTTCGTTTCAGCATCCTTTACCTGAGTCTCAGATCTCTGTTTCGTTCAGCATCCTTTACCTGAGTCTCAGATCTCTGTTTCGTTCAGCATCCTTTACCCGAGTCTCAGATCTCTGTTTCGTTCAGCATCCTTACCTGAGTCTCAGATCTCTGTTTCGTTCAGCATCCTTTACCTGGAGTCTCAGATCTCTGTTTCGTTCAGCATCCTTTGCCCTGAGTCTCAGATCTCTGTTTCGTTCAGCATCCTTTACCCGAGTCTCAGATCTCTGTTTCGTTCAGCATCCTTTACCCGAGTCTCAGATCTCTGTTTCGTTCAGCATCCTTTACCCGAGTCTCAGATCTCTGTTTCGTTCAGCATCCTTTACCCGAGTCTCAGATCTCTGTTTCGTTCAGCATCCTTTACCCGAGTCTCAGATCTTTGTTTCGTTCAGCATCCTTTACCCGAGTCTCAGATCTCTGTTTCGTTCAGCATCCTTTACCCGAGTCTCAGATCTCTGTTTCGTTCAGCATCCTTTGCCCGAGTCTCAGATCTCTGTTTCGTTCAGCATCCTTTGCCTGAGTCTCAGATCTCTGTTTCGTTCAGCATCCTTTACCTGGAGTCTCAGATCTCTGTTTCGTTCAGCATCCTTTACCCGAGTCTCAGATCTCTGTTTCGTTCAGCATCCTTTACCTGAGTCTCAGATCTCTGTTTCGTTCAGCATCCTTTACCTGAGTCTCAGATCTCTGTTTCGTTCAGCATCCTTTGCCGAGTCTCAGATCTCTGTTTCGTTCAGCATCCTTTACCCGAGTCTCAGATCTCTGTTTCGTTCAGCATCCTTTGCCCGAGTCTCAGATCTCTGTTTCGTTCAGCATCCTTTACCCGAGTCTCAGATCTCTGTTTCGTTCAGCATCCTTTGCCCTGAGTCTCAGATCTCTGTTTCGTTCAGCATCCTTTACCTGAGTCTCAGATCTCTGTTTCGTTCAGCATCCTTTGCCCGAGTCTCAGATCTCTGTTTCGTTCAGCATCCTTTGCCCGAGTCTCAGATCTCTGTTTCGTTCAGCATCCTTTACCCGAGTCTCAGATCTCTGTTTCGTTCAGCATCCTTTACCCGAGTCTCAGATCTCTGTTTCGTTCAGCATCCTTTACCCGAGTCTCAGATCTCTGTTTCGTTCAGCATCCTTTACCAGAGTCTCAGATCTCTGTTTCATTCAGCATCCTTTATCCGAGTCTCAGATCTCTGTTTCGTTCAGCATCCTTTACCCGAGTCACAGATCTCTGTTTCGTTCTCAACTTCTTCCTGGCAAATCGCTGTGTCTTCTGAACCACCAGAAACTTCTATTTTCCTTTATGTTCGTTGACTCGTTTTTCAGCTAGATCTTTTCTAGTTCTCGCCGTGTCTCCTGCCTTTAATTTACTATTATTGATTCCTTTGTCTCAGGAACTTTCTGCGTTTTTGAACCCCCAAAAGCAAGTTCCATTTCCGTCACAGTGGCATCGCTTTCTTACATTGATCAAGAAAGTATATTAGAAATGATGAATTCGATAGAGATTAAGAATCGCAAAGAAAAGCTCATGATAACAGCAGGTGAAGTTTTTCTGAAATATAAAGAAGAAAGAACGCTTAGAGAATTTAACGCACTTGTGTTACATCGTAAAAGAATCAAAGGAAAACAAATAATGCGACTTAAAATTTATGCAAATAGAGGAATGAGTAACAGAAAAAGGTTCATAAAGAAGGACTTACAGTGCCTCATCGATTATCCGAAAACAATGGGACAGGGTTTGAAAAAAATCTCTTCTGATATTTCAAAATCCCGGAATGCCTAAATTATCGAAAATGTGGGAAGAAAATCCCAAAAAGTCATTTTCTGAAAGAAATTTAACATTTATATCATCAAATAAATTTTTTCAAGGTTTTGTGCAATTTATTTTGGATGAAAAGAATGCGTAAAATTTTGCCTGTTGCAGCCGCTAACTCCCCATACTGGATTAAACGGATTTGTATGTGCCTATCATAGTCACTAATCAAATGACTCT